TACCATGCATGTAGTATTTAATGATACCCATAAACGTAAAATTTCAAGCATATATAATTGCTGGCATATTTATAACTTACTCTCTATCCAAAAAACAGCCATATTTGAAACAAATACAAAAAGAAATTATAGCTTATAATTAGAGGAATTAGCGAAAATTGACTATATTCATGACGCGCTTGTCAAGCGAAAAACACACTGCCCAAAGATTTTATTATTTATTCTAGTAGATGTGTCATAATACTCAGTAGCTGCAATAGATTGGATACCTGATACCGTTGCACTTTTGAGAAAAAATAATTTACCGCCAGCATACTAACACGAATATTTAATCAGCTGTCTGAAAGACGTTTTTAAAAATACACAATATTTTGTTTGCTTCAAGTGATCAGGATAATTTTTAGTTTAGGTTTATGCCTAGGCAGGAAATAATAAAATATGTAAGTTTCAAGAAGTTAGAATAAAAGCGCGAGATGAACTGTGAGATATAAAAAGCTCAAATATCCCTTGCGTAATTAACGTTTTAACTTGTTTTCGAACGCGTCCGAAAATAATTGCGAAAAATTTTTTAAAACTGACTACAATTTCAAAGTCAACGTTTTTTGTTCATTTTATGAATGACTTCTTCCACACAGAAAGTTTGAAGGAAATCTGTAATCTTAAGAAATTCGAGTGGTCGGTTTTTACACGGACTGTCTCTTAAATTTGTGCAGTGGTACTGTATTGCAGTAAAATATGATAGCAACTGCGGTATCACATTTCAGAGACTAATTTTCCAAAAATTAATTCTAATCAACTCCATTTGGACAAATGCGGAACAAACAGTCAGGGTCCTGAATTTGGCGGTAAGAGGGAAGGGTGTGTGCGGGCGGGGGGGGGAGGGAGGGAGAAACAAACATAACTTCCAAACACACGAGTACTAAGAACTCTAGGGGTGTCCGAGGGGCACTTTATTCTCACGCAGAAATTTTGAAATTCAGCTGCGCTTTCTAGAACATTTCTCGCATTCTGAGACAATGACCTATCTTATCGTTATTCCAGACATAGCACCCCCTCACCTACTTTTTGCTCTGATTTCATTTTTCACAAGAATAGTACTAGAAGTCATGACTGGTGGCTTACAGGACCGCCTTGGCCACTGTTAATTTTTGGAAGTCATTCGGCGCTAAAGTGAAAAGTTGGTGAAAACTGAAAGTTCTGTTCTCTAGAACAACATTTCTCACATTCTGAGACGAGTTTTGAAGAAAAACTGTAACCCTGAAACCCATAACATATTATATCGTGGACGGGGACGGCTGCAGAACCCCTTTGGTTGTTAGCCGCCATGGTTGTTAATTTATGGAAGTCATTTGGCGCTAAAGTGGAAAGTTGGTAAAAACTGAAAACTTAGGAGTAAAAACGCAAAGCTGAAACCATGAAGCTCACCAGTACATGTGGGTTGACGACCAGACCAGCTTAGATCAGATTGACAAGTCCTAGTATGGCTACCTCGAAGTTGGTAGCACTGATCACACGAGAAGTGGAGCGTTTGTCCAACTTGTAGATTTCCTTTCTTGTTTCCCCTCCATGGCGTGCCTGGATCTTGACAACTTTTAACTGTAAAAATAAACTGCTTTTAAGTTTCTAGCTAGTGGGTAAATATCAAGATTTTGGGCATCTCGTTCATAGAACAAATAGAGTATGGGTTTTTGTAGATGGAATTTTCGAACGTAAATTTCATACACGTTTAGACCTAATCAAGAACAGTTGGAGAAAATGCAACTACAGGCCCTCTGGCAGGAATCGAACCTACGATCCTGCGATTCTGATCTAAGATTGTGTAGAAATTTGCGTTCAAGAATGCCATCTCCATAAATTCCCATGTACTATTAGGTATCTATTGGCCCTACAGTAAATGGATCACCTTTTTTTCTTCCTACAGTCAGTACAGTTTAAAATATGATTTTTATAGATCAGATTTCATCCTCGCGACACGCGCGTGGAATCTTATAAAAATATTGAAACAAGCCGCGGGAGGTTTTTGGCGTTTTTTTTCTGCAAAGAAAGCTCCAGTTTACATTATAATCCTAATATTTTTCTGCATTCGAACAATACGTATGTTTTAACTAGTTATATATTTACTTTCAGCCGGCAGTGTCTTTCATAATGCTCAAAATTTTCAACTTGTGTCGCGAACTGAAATGATACTGTCTTCAGTGAACTCTTGAACAGTTAAACTTATGTCAGTCCTGTCAATCAACTTAATTCACATGTGTTGTTTTATCTGCTAAATCTAATAAAACAGTTGGGAGTTATTTTATATGAAAAGTCAAACTTGTAGTTCAATGTTTTGAAACGTTTTCACCGATTTCAACAAAAAAATCAAATTTAATGGATTAATTAGTGTTTTTATTATTAGTATTTTCAACATTTATTATTAGCATGACAAAATTACTGGATGCTGATTGATTGAGAGGAGTACAATTATTTAATTAATTGTACTGTAGTACAATTAATGATTTTCCCAAAACAAACAAAATGGCGGAAAGGTATTTTAAACACAAATGTGAAATGAAATTGCCCTAGAGAGAACTAAATGAAAATACGAACAAAAGCACCAAATTTTTGTTGAAAGTATGCTTTAACAAAAGAACTAAATGAAAATACGAACAAAAGCACCAAATTTTTGTTGAAAGTATGGCAGGACTGGGCTTTGGCGAGAGAATATGATGTTGATATCGAGAAGTATTCAATTTTGTCATGCTAATAATAAACAAGTAATCATGAGATGATGTTTGGAAATTTGCCGTTCCCCCTGGCTGGGATTAAATATGAGTGACGTTCAGTGAAAGCCATTCGACAACGTCCAAATAATTATGGCTATCACTTGACAGTTGTTCTACATACGTGTTATTTTTGGCAATAATTGCTTAGCATCCTAGGTGGAAATACTTCAGAATGTAATTTTGTCACTATTGAGCCCGGCGGCTCGTCCAATTTTGACAATATTTCCAAACATCACTCGTACTATCAATCCCTACACGGGTAAAAATTGATCATGTTGTTCGGCGTTGTTCAAAACAGGAGCGAACAATGTTGTGCTGCACCCCGTGAACAATATTGTTAACAAGTTGTTCAACCATCAGTACTGTTGCAACTTGTTAACATGATTGTCAACAAGTTGCAACAATATTGATGGTTCAACAACTTGTTAACAATATTGTTCACGGGGTGCAGCACAACATTGTTCGCTCCTGTTCTGAACAACTTGCATCAACATGATGATTTTTACGCGTGTAGTTGTTATGTACTCGCCACCGCTTGATTACCAACACTAATATTTTATTTTTATGTCAAGCAAGTCAGAAATAACGGTTTTAGTACAAGTAAGCCAAAAAGTTGAATTGAAAATTTCTAAAAAACCCACCATAAATCACATATAAAATTTTGTCGTCACGCAGTATAATTTACATGACGCACGCGCAAATCGCACTCATGTCAAGATCTTTTCACGTCAGCGCCTGGCCGCGCATATTTTAGTGATGATTTTCTCGTGTTTCTTCGGTGAATTTTTTAAACTTTCTATTTTTGTTATATATACAAGACGAGTGGTAAAACATATCCAAATTGTAAGAAATTCTACAAATAACTTTTTCTGTAATCGTCCGTCATTCACGAAAATCTCGAACACTTATTTGTAAACCCTTCCTTCAAATTTTGATATGTTTTTCTTTATGGACCGTAAATATTTCTTTAAAATAAATTCAGAAACATTCACCGAAGGAAAAATAAATAAAGATATTGTCAATTTATTGTGAAATTAGACAATAAAATTTCAAAAGATTACACGTCACGCTTGCCATGGCAACACAAACAATGTTTTTTAAGTGTATTCAACATAAATTCGGTTGAAAGCGAACGTTACTCAAAATACCAAAAATTGTAGAGAACTGTGGGGAGCCACCTTAAGGATCGAACTGGTCAAAAGACATCATGGTAAGGCCTCAAAACTCTGCGAAAGTCTTTTGTCCATGTTTATGCAAACCTGTACATGGGGAAGACCATTTAATGACCTTTTGTATCATCTCGTTGAATAACTCAAGCATACTGTTGAAACACAAATTCCGTATTTCCTCTATTAAACAGCCCTCTACCGGCTTATTTTTTCCAGTGGTTCTGGACTGGAGGCTTATTAGAAAGGGCTCAAAATGCTAAGTGCATTTTCTCGTTCTTAAAGCAGAATCATCATTAGTATCATTGGAGAGACATTTGGAGAAATTTTCTACACAACTTATATCTATTTTGCCATATCAGTGAACATTTTATACACTGACAACTTTGTGTTTCAGAAATTTCGCGATAAGTTTATATCAAGAATGATTTCATTAATAGCGGATGGGGCTAAATAGAGGGCGGGGACTTACCTTTATCGCTGGCAAGATCGATAGCGATTGGAAGTTTTGTGTTTCGTCCAGTGCCGAACTTATACACATAGACGTATCGTGTGTATTAAAATGTTGTGACTAAGCGAACCGTATAATCCATCCGCTTGCTACATTATCATGCCAGCCTTAGCGCAGAGTATACAAAATACAGAGGTCCGACTCGGCAAATCCCCGTCACCAGCTGCAAGTTAGTGCGCGAATGGGAAGCATTCACCCCCTATCCTGCACCAAACGGCGAACTTCTAAAACAAGCCAGTGATTTGGACTGTTTTTGAGGAGGGTGACGGCCTCTCTTTAAGGCACTGGCTAGGAAGATGGCGGCTGGTTCCACTGACATCAAAGTCGCCGACGAGGAGTCGGATCCCTGTATAGTCTATACTCTGTGTCCTTACGTTCACAAACTGGTTCGTTTCCTGTCCGCGAGCCATCGCTCTGACAACGTCTCCTCGGTGATCCATTCAATTGGTAGCCATAATCACAGTGGTATTGTACAATACTGTTACACTGCTTTGAGTTGGAGGTCAGATACCCATTGACTGGATTTGGAAGGAAGCTACACATGACAGCTGCAAAATATAAAGATAAATATTAACCGTGGTGGTGCAGGGGAGGTTGGGGGGTTCCCTAGAGAAGACCAGCACCACCCCAAAGCAATCTGCTTGACCATATATTGCCTGCTTCCCGAATAACGATTATCGGAACTTCTACTGTTAGCGCATGTCGGTTTCTTGATACAATTAGTTGCTCATGTATAAAATTCGGTTGAGGAAAATCTTGTATTTTTCCACCCTAAGGACTGCATTTCTTGTACGTAGTCTGAAACAGACTTTTGGATATACAGCGTTACATTATATGTTGTAGACAGACCGAATCTTCAGTTAAGTACGTGCATTGCATGTTTATGTAAGTACCACAACTCGGTCACTAACTTGTTTAGCCTGGCCTTCAAACAACTCAAAACTTAAACATAGGGTTTGGGGTATGCTATCATGCACATGTTTAACAGTTGCGAAAAAGACATTGAATCATTTGAAGATAAAAGACATGACATAAGATTCTCAAAGCAAATTTCATGCAGTTACTAGATTATCAAATCTCCCTTCTAAATCCTCCCACCATGGGATCCGGGGGCTATTGCTTCCAAGTTATATAGTTAAAAAAGGCCCTTTTGACATTACATGAGCTAAGTGCGCTTTATATTTTATAGCAATACGATATCCACGAATGTTGCTATAAATCTGCTGGTTTGGGTCAAACTTCGCCTGCATAAATGATACCCAAAGTAATCTTGTACTTACGTTCACATGTAGGTTGAGTGCCAGTCCATTTCTCATTAGCTTGACATTTTCTATTAGCAGGACCTTTCAATTTATAACATTCATCACAAGTGTAATAAACTTTCTCTCCAAACCCAAATAATCCTTTCACATTCCCATTTCTTGGTCTTCCAGGGTCCGGACAACCTTTTCCTGAAAAGATAATGCAACATATGTGATGTTTTAGTTGACACGTTGATTTGTTCTGTAAAATTCAACTGTATACTTATATCTGTGAGTGGCGTCAATTGGCATCGCCGTACTCTAATTAATTTATGTTCTTACAGGAGGTGCAGTTGTACACAAAATGTGCAAAGTTCTTAAAATACAAATGTTAAAGAAAATTTAGAATACAATGTTATTTATTTATTTATTTATTTATTTATTTATTTATTAACTTTGCCAAAAAGTTATTGTCGTTTTCCATTTTGGATGCTCCAGTCTGAAAATGCCCCAACTGCAGCCATTGAGCATCAAAGAGATAAACATTATCCGGGGGAGGACCGCCAGATCCCACAATTTTCTTCACAAATCACTTACGGAAGGCGTATCCGCAACAAAATGTTCGCAGAATACAGACGAATTCGGACTACGATTTTATACAAACAAATCCGAATACGTGTGCACCGGGCCTTAGCCACAGAATTGTTATCCCAATTCGACAGGAAGGCGGAGGGAGGGGACGCGTGCTGTGCTTCTCAAGAGGGTTCGAAGGACAGAAATACTTACCGACACAGGTTGGACTCACTGCAGACCAGCTTCCGTCACTCTGACAAGTTATTCTTCTTGAACCTTTTAACTTATAGCCAGAATAACATATAAATTCTGTTTGTTCTCCCCCACAGTACCTTGAATGCGCAATTATTCTTCCATTTGTAGGGTGATGTAACACTTTGCATCGAGCGGCTAAATATTGAAAAAGCTAGCATATAAATTCCAAACACACGAGCACTAAAAACCCTAGGGGCACCCGAGGGGCATTTTCTCCCAGAGAAGTTTTGAATTTCAGCTGTGTTCTCTAAACCAGTATTTCTCGCATTTTTGAAGACGAGTTTTGAAGAAAGACGATAACCCCGAAAACCCATAACATATCGTATCGTGGACGAAGGACCGCGACAGAGCCCCCCTTTCCACAATGGGTACGCCACTGTTAATTTATGGAAGTCATTCGCCGCTAAAGTATAAATTTGGTGAAAACTGAAAATTCAAGACTTACTAATATATATAACACAAAACTGAAATCATGAAGCTCACCAGTACATGTTGGTTGACGACCCGACCAGCGTAGATCAGATTGACACGTTCTATTTGGGCTACCTCTAAATTGGTAACACTTATCACACGAGAAGTGGAGCGTTTGTCCAACGTGTAGATTTCCTTTCTTGCTACCTCTCCATGGCGTTCTTGGATCTTGACAACTTTTTGCTGTAAGAATAAACTATTTTAATTAAGTTTCTAGTGGGTAAATAGCGAGATTTCGGGCGTCTCCTTCGTATGACAAATATGGTATGGTTTTTTGTAGATACTTAAATTTTGTACACTTTTAGATCAGCTTGGGGAACATACAACTACAAGCCCTCTGACAGGAATCGAACCTGCGGCCCTGTAATTCCGGTATAGTGCCCTAAATATGTATCGAACTTTGCGTTCGAAAATTCCATCTACGAAACCCATGAAAAATGCCAAGAATTTCGGCATTTATCCATATACCTTCTACCGCCGTCACGCCATTATCTATAGATGAGTGTGTGGTAATCCTCAGAAACAGGATTCTGTAGCTCAATGGGTTAGACCGCTGCAACGAAATCGCATAGCCGCAGGTTCGATTCCTGTCATGGCATATAGTTGCATTTTTCGAAACCGCCCCTGGTTATGTCTAAAGTGTGTAGAAATTAACGTTCGAAAATGGCACCTACACAGATTCCATGTACAAATGTCCATGTACAAAAATTCCCAAGTATCTACTGGCCCTACAGCATAGATCACCTTAAGGATGCATGGAATTGGTCAAAAGACATCATCCGTGGTAGATACGTTTTGATAATCTAGTAAGTGAAATTTGCTTCGTGAATCTTATGTCCTCTCTCTTATCTTCAAATCAATTATTCAATGTCTTTTGAAAATTAATAAACATTGTATTGTAAATACTTTAGATTATAAAAATTTCCAAGTTGTTGGAAGGCTATACTGAACATACCATGAAGTGCTTAACTGAAGTTTCAGTTAATCCCAGTATAATGTAACCCTGTGTATCCAAAAATCTGTTATCGACGTGGTTAAATACAACATTTTTGTGGGGGACAATTCCCCCTGACCCCTACTTTACATACGGCACCACGCCGAACGTTTTGGTTGCAGTATCTGGGGGTGGAAAAAATAAGGGCCCATTGAATTTATGAAATCATCAGTAGTCCCGTGAGATTCATAATTTAGAAGGTTTAGGTTAAAATCACCCATTATTAAACAGTATTCGTTTTCTTTACTATTGGTATCTACTGTAAGACTCGATTTAGAAACATCATAAATGTTGGTTATTATGAGGGTGCCTATATATTACTCCACATTTTATATTGTGATGCGATCTGCATCTCAATTTATAGTGAATAGCTTAAATGATTTTTGATATACAGAAACCAGTGCCAACAGCATTTGATAAGCTGGGTTGTGAAATAAAGGTATAGCCAGGCAAGTTATTATTACATATTTGTTCACTATCTATTTTATACTTAGTTTCAGTAAGACGATAATAGAAAAAGAGTGTTCACGTTCATCAAGCATGTGTGCAAAGTTTTCATACTATTAGTTGGCACCCAGGCTTCTAATATTGCAATGGAATACAGAAAAATGTTTGGTATACACAATTTTGAATTTGGTTGCTGTCTACGAAATCCTGAGTAGTATAATATTTAAAATTTGTTTGAGAAGGCAGATTTATATCAGGATAAATACTAGATAAATTATCCTCCACTAGTGATTTATTGGTCTCTTCCATTTTTGCTACTTTCGAGAGAAAATCATCGTATTTATCACTCAAAAATGTTAAGGATTGTTCTATATTATCGATTTTCGCAATCTTGATATTAACGTTATCAAGAGTTTTGATGATGGGATTAAGCTTTTTATCTAGAATACTTCCAATGTTGTGTAAGCTGGTCTTTCATTTTATGTGGAACGGCTTTAATTAACAAATGTTATAGCAAATAAACGAAGCAAATTTATTAAAGTAGAGGTAGAATATTTTACATTAAACTTGAAATTTTCAGGTGCTCAAAATCACCATCTTGACTCTTTCCCAACACAGGTCCTTATAATATGGAACATGTGCAGAAGTGTATGGGAAAAATCTTATTGGACTGACAGGACGTACAAAACTTCCAGATGGAAAACCTGTTCAAGCAAAAACCGGAAGACGTACAAGGCCCACAATTGATAAACTGCAAAGGTATTATGGCAATGCTATAAGACGTTTCACCAACAAGAAAGCAAAAACAAAATAGGATGTTGACAATGCAGTGAAGAAGATGCAGTGTGCAATCAAAGCAGTTTTGTCCATAGTGTCAAGATGGACAATTAAAAGACGAGGAATCAGAACTGTTCTGATGGTAAAAGCCCATGGTGTCCTTATCAGAGGGGCATATATATTGGTGATGCTTTTGTCAAACCACACCATCTGGATCCTGTGTTTCTAATTAAAGTTTCTTACTCCACTATTCGATAGACTTAGTGATAAGAAGCTGTTGAAGAGATACTTACCAGGGTTGTCACAGAATGCAAACGAGTCAGTCAATTTCTTGGTGTGGAACAGATACCCAAAATATCACAATAGAAGATTCAGAAGTGTTGAGACAGCAGCGGCATCTGCTACATTGCAATACAACACTGGTGCATCTGGTAGCCATGCCGAGATGAAAGAGCTTGAATTTCTCATGGTTGTAATGCAATGGCTGGAAGTGGAAAAAAGGATAAAAATAGAGTGAAACAAGCGAATAGAAGGGCAGAAGAGAAATTCAAGAAAGCAAGACAGAAGATTCGACAGGCTAAATTGGTGGAAGAGGAAAGATTGAAGGGAAGAGAAGAGTTAGCGTATGCGAGTGGGCAGTTTAAAGAAGATTGTTTGGCTAGCTCAAGAAAGCAAAAGTGGCCCAAAATTCGAGTGGCTCAAGCAAATCCAAACGTGCAAGGAAAAAATTGAACTTGGAACTAGTTGAAAACACCAAAACATACAGATATAATGAAACTCCAACTTTAACTGTCGATTTCTCAAAACCTGATTTTTGGACCTATGTGAACTGCCCAATGACATTATCTCAGTTGATAGAAGTGAACCATTTTTCGCGCAGGTCCAATTTTTAGTATGTACCATGCACCCATTAGCCATTTTTTATATCTTTATTTTAAATAGGAGTTATAGTAAAAATAATGTTTGCAATCTGTTTTTCCCGTTGCAAAAGCAACCATAGTGGATAACCAAAATTGGCTAAAAGGGACATCCCTAACTATATTTTCCAAGCATGAAGTATTTGAAGTAGTTGTTGTGGTTACACAATCATTTTATTCTTTATATTTGCTGACGCAGCGAGCGAGCCTGAAGCGAGCGACCAAATCAGCAGTTCTAATTCGTATTGGGCTCTGAAAGTGAGATTTTACTTCCGTTTCTCCGACCAGAATGCACTGCTGTTAACCGACCAGAATGCTTTGCATGCATGATGTATATAAATGCAGTTGTTTTGGTGTATTTTGTATTCATTGTATGGTCTGTTGATTTCTGACTTGTCTTTACATTATACTGAATTTGCTTATTGCAAACAATTTGTAACGCTTGGACAGCGATATTTATGTTTTGTGGTCTTCGCCTTATCTTGTTTTCTATTTTCTTACATCATTTAGCACTTAGAACTATATAGCAAAATCAACATTGATCACTGTAATTGCACGCCAGCTCAAAGCGTTCATTTCAAGCGTTAAAAGTGAACTAATTTCATCTCGATTGTTGTCGATCAGTTTGGAATAATTTAAACAGGGTTTCGTCTGTTGACTTTTTGTTTGAATTGAATCTGACTTGACTATCAGGGTAATTGACATCAACAGTTCGGCAACTGCCAACTATGGCATCAACAGTTTGGCAACTGCCAACTATGACTATACTGTAGTATGGCATTTTGCCAGAACGATGCTTTGCATGCTATTTTCATGGGTTAATTAAATGTACTTTTGCCTGCCAAATAGCATGGTACACTATACTGTATACACAATATGATGTTATGCATGTGCATTGTTTAAACATGCAACACAACCAGGGGCATGTCAGTGGGATTGAAGCAAGCATGTACATGGAATACTTTTTATCAGCCTGTTTCAAACGTCGCTCTTCTCATGTGCCGAACGCATTAGAAACAGTAGATAATGAGGCATTTCAGCTGACTATCTGTTGTACGTTTTTAATGCGTTCGGCACATGAGAAGCGCGACGTTTGAAACAGGCCTAAAGCCGGTTTTCCACTGGGCGCAATTTTGCGCGCGGAGCGGAATTTTTCTTTGTCTTGTGATTTCTCGGGTGGAACTAATTAGAAAAGACAAAGAAAAATTCCGCTCCGCGCGCAAAATTCCGCCTAGTGGAAAACAGGCTTAAGGTATGTGTCGAATGCATTAATTTAAAAAAAACAATGTCCTAGCTCAACTTTAGTTTTCGAAGTAACGTGGCTTTAAGTTTACGTCCTTGCATGAATTCAAGTTTTGCTCCATGTTGTTCAGTAATCACTTCTTAGGCCCCGTTTACACTATACTGGATTGCAATCGGAGTGGGTCAACAGTGGCGGAATTTCACTTTTTCCGGTGGGGGGGGGGGAACCCTCCTAAATTTCCGACAAAACTTTCAAATTTCCGACGTAACCCCCTCCCCCCCCTCCCCATTTGCACTCGAAAAGACTGTTTTTAGCCCTCTTTTAGGTCAAAATTTCCGAAAATTCGGCAATTTTCCGTGAAGGTGGCAATTCGGCAAATTTCCGCCACTGTGGGTCAAATTTTGTAGGTATAGAAAGGCTGTGAAGATTTTTAATCTCAGAGAACCAAATAAACATGCCAATTCTGTCAAACTAATAAACATTTGCTACTAACCATTGCTCCGTAACGGCAAAAGAAGATGTTGTGACCAGCGAATCCGGTATACAGTAATGTAAACAGGGCCTAAAATGCCTTCGCATCAGAAAATTCAAAAGAAAGGCAATTTGGCGGAAGAATTGTTTTCAAGCGAAGTAAAACATCAGCTATAAGAACTTTACCACAGAGACTTTACTTTAGCCTTGTTCACATGCATATGCTTGCGGTATGCCGGCGCTATCATTGTTCGCAGCTGTTGATGCATACATTCTCAGTTTGTGAATTATTTGGTTACCAAATTTTGGTTGAACTGATATAACAACAATAGCC